TGTTATGAAAATATACGTAATAAAAAAGGGTAGATAATAAATAGCATCGTGCAGTATTTTCTTAACTTTTAATTACGAATACAAAGTAAATCTGCTAGAATTTTAATTAGTTAGTTTGTTGGTAGAGATGTAGAACGAACCATGAGGAAAATTTATAAAAATATTAAAAGTATAATATTAGTCTTAATTAAAAAGTATAGTATTACTAAAAATCATGTGCTCATTATCATTTATCGTACGTCACATATTTCAAAATAAGATTATCGATTTTCCTTTTCGAAGTAGAATTTATAAAATAACTATCTTAAGGTATCTTAATGCCGTAACATAAACATAACACGCCTTTTATCCCCGAAGGGGTAGCCAGAGCTGTACATTACGACACTTAATACCACTGTACAATGTAACACCCTTTTTTACTATTTATGTTATACGAGGCACATTTTCAGACTCCGTGCTGCTACTGAGAATTTCTTAAAAAAACCCAGTAATACTTTGCCTGACCTGGTAATTGAACCCGAGAGCCCTTGCCCGGCAGTCGCACTTGCGACCACTCGGCCCACGCAGTCTTTACCCTATCAAATTAATGCCGTCTATCCAAAAAATGCACAATGACGTAACAATCAGTCTACTTACCAATCTCAGTACTGCCAGTGAACCCAAGCTTCCTAACGAGTGGATGGTCAGCGAGAGCCTGTCCGGCGACAGTGCCGCTGCCGGGGATGATGTTGATGACGCCGGCCGGGATGCCCGCGCGGACTGATAGCTCCGCGAATTTAAGCGCTGTTAGAGGACATACCTGGGGAGGAGAGATGAACATTATAATTTAAAAATGTCACAACGAGTCTGTTTTTGAAGTATGTAGTTTACTTTCCCTGCAAATGTCGTTAGGGTTGATAAAAGGAGACAGACTTTTATATTGCGGTCGCTAGCTGAGGCGTTATGGGAGATTATGGCCATGGCAAAACCCTGTTTATATTCTAGCATTGGATTGTCAGAGCAACTTTTCTATGTTTAATAGTCTGTTACGCAAAAATGTACCCTACGCTCAAACAAATAAGGTAGATTTTTGGTTTATTTGTGGACTTTTCTTTTACCATCGCTTTATTATATGTTGCAAAAATATCTATCCTACACAATAATTTATATGTCACACAAAAATAAACTTATAATAAAACAAAATAAGGTAGAATTTCCTTTGTTAAAGTAATTTTCTATTGGTATCTTCTTTTACGTGTTACACAAATATCTATTTACGTAAGTAATACTTACAGCAGCGGGTTTCATGACGACCGTGTTCCCTGCGGCGAGGCAGGCCGCCATCTTCCACGACAACATCATCAACGGGTAGTTCCACGGAGTTATCAGACCACATACACCGATTGGCTCCTTCTTCGTCATTGCCAGGTTCCTGTAGGTTTACATATTTGTTAACGTAAACTTGATGCCATGAGTCTGAGTTTGTATGTTTGTTAACCGATTTGGTTAATAAAAATATTTCATTTCACCATTTAAAGACGGGAAGAAAGTAGCGAGCTTGCTAGCTCACATACAAATATTTTATCGAGGAGAAACAATTCAGAAGTCATACTTTTTTCGTATTGTTAACATCAAACACTTATTCCTAATACGCA